TTTTTTTTTTTTTTTCCAAACGTTAGATAATTTCCACTCACAAGAACGAAAAAAATGTCTTACAGTCGGTGATCCACTGATCACAATAACAGATACCAGTAGGAGACCCTAACAGCTAAACATTAGCAATGCCATTCATGGCTAGAACAAGATGAAATAGCCTCAAGGGCTAAAGAAGATGCCATACAAATAAAATCTGAACAAGAGACATCAAATGAATAGGATAAACTTAATTCTGCTGATATGTGGATATTATCAGCTACTTCCTTCATCAGCCCGTCAAAAGAATGAGTGTTCCTCAGGTGCCTTGCAATAACTTCATCATCTATGTAGACTTCAAGCTTTTTCCAGTCTTTCATTAGAGCAAGCCACAGAGCACGTTGAACACCATGCAGGAGTGCCTCAGATTCATCATAGCAATTAGGAAGGAAGACCTGCCATTTCATGCCCATTGGACTTTGGTTCATGTTCACAGCTACACCCCCAAAGCCACACCCCATGCCTGGTACTATGCAAGCACTGACAAATAAGCAAATTTGCCCTACTTGATCCAAAGCATTTGATATAGCTGACTCATTTAATGGTTGCTTCACTCCTACAAACTCACCCCATTCTTCAGAGGCTTTCCTCACAATTTCCTTGTCATCATAGGTTTTTTTTTTTTTCAAAGATCCAAAGGTTTCTTGTCCTCCATAGTCACCATAATATATACACAGATAGCTCCACCCTATCCTCCCAACATTCTCCTTTCTTTGCATTGCATAAGTCAAACCACCAACCTTTAAAGCAGCCAGGCTTTATGATTTTTTGGTTCCAGGAAATAGGAGCAATATCCCACACTCTCTTAGCTTTGTCACAATGAAACAACACATGCACAAGAGACTCAACCCCTTCCCCACAAACTTGGCACTGAGGTGTAGGCAACATACCTCTGGTATACAGCGTTTCAGCCTCTGGCAGTGAATCATGGATGCATCTCCATAAGAATGATTTCAGCTTTAGCTTAAGCTTGGTGGACCAGGTGCATTTCCACGTTTTCTTCATCAACTCTCTAGTGTTGCTTGAGCAGGGTCTATCTTTTTCATGGCTGGATTTTTTCAGAACCTCCTTGTAGCAGGATTTTACTGTAAAGGTGCCTTCTTTTCCATGAACCCAGATGAACTTGTCTTTAGTATCATTATTAAGAAGAGGAATATTAAGAATTTTTTAGTTTCATCCTCAGTGAAAATTTGGGCAATTAAGTTGTGGTTCCAGCTTTTGCCATCAGGTTCCATAAGGTCACACACCCATTCAACTCTCCTATCTTTGCCCCTCAACCCAACTGGTTTGAAATTTTTGATATTAGGAACCCAGGGGGATTCCCAAATTCTGATATTTTTCCCATCACCTACTTTCATTCTAAGCCCAAGAGCTAGGGCACCTCTTGCTTTTGCCCAACTCTTCCAAACCCATGAGTCTTGACCCTTCACTGGTACATTACACATGCCCCCTTGGGAAAGTATTTTGCTTTCAACAGCCTGCTCATAAGACGATTAAGGTGTGTAATAACCCTCCACAGTTGTTTGGCCAACAATGCTTGGTTGAAAGCTAGCAGGTCTCTAAAACCAAGACCCCCCTCACTTTTTTCAGCACACATCTTGTCCCATCTCACCCATGCCTATTTATTTTTCCCATCCACTTCCCCCCACCAGAATTCTCTAATTTGGGCATTAACATTGTCACAGATAGCTTTAGGTATGCAAAAGCAAGAAAGGACATATACTGGGAGAGCATTGATTACAGACTTGATTAATACCTCTTTACCAGCTGGATTCAGTAGCTTGCCTTTCCAGTTCTGCATTTTTGAATTGGTTGCCTCCTCCACAAATTTGAATATTCTACTTTTTAAAACTTTGATTCAAGATAAATTTATGTATATAAAATTTGACGTGATATTTAGTATAAAAATTTTATTTGTAAAATCCCAATAAATGTTACAAAATCCAGTCAAATTTAAGAGATAAATACATTGAATAACCTCATAGTTTTCTTAAACTTTTTAAAATATCAAATGAATACCTCTCGAAATTTTTAGACATCTTAAAAAATCCAAATTAAATAAATTAGAATTCTTAAAATCCCAATGAGTCTTTATGAATTCCCGAATGAATATACACTTCATAAGCTCATATCATTTTGGCTCGAGACGAAACGAGAAACTTGCTAATCATTCGCCTAATTCGACTTGAGCTCAAGTTTGACCGAGTTCAAACATATCAAATTCGAACTCAAGTTGAGAGTATTTAGTGCTTGATGAATAGCTGGATTTACATAAATTATCTAAATATTCATAAATAGATACGGTTTATTAAAGTTTCGAGCCAATTTCCAGTGTTTGTGATTTTTATTCATTATTTTATATCACATTTATTTTATTTTGATATGTATGTATATATGTGTGTAGTATGGGTGTATTCAGAATTTTCATTTCTGACCTAAAAGTTTGTTCCGGGTGCCGATTTACATCGGTTACGTGATTTTATAAACCAAATCCTTGAAATGTCTTGGTTTAAATTTCACTTTCACAGAGCTGGCACTTTATTTGAAGTATTTTAAACAGTAATCTGAGTAAAATTACGTTTTTTCACAGTTATAATAATAAGCTGCATCCATTATGATTTATAACCAACTTAATTTAATTTCACTCTCCATTGCTAGTTCAAGTCCATTATATCGTGCATTACATGTTCTCCTTGAGCTGTTACAAGTTTCCATTTTCCAAATAGCAACACTAAAACCTTCATAACACTGATAAACTGCCATAACCAAACCAGACTTTTTTGAACTCAAATTCATGAACATAAAATGCTAATATGCTGACACTCAAAACTTTCCACTACACAGCCCTAACCACGTGTCAAAGTCTCGTTTTATTGTAGGCTTTATTTTGGGCTTGTCGATTCCCAAATCTACGCATCGACGACCTCATCAACCTCAGCTGAGGCCAGAGTGAATTCCGGCTGGGCCTCTTTCACTTTACTGTAAGACCCATTGTCCAACGCATTCGGTTGGCCCAAAGCCCTCAGCGCTAAATGGGCCGCTTTCTGACCTGAGATCATCATAGCCCCAAATGTCGGCCCCTGCAAAAATAAACAAATAAATAAATCCCAATTAGTATAATTTTGCTGCAAAAATAAACAAATAAATAAATCCCAATTAGTATAATTTTGCTGAAGGTTCGGTCCTAACGCTTCATTGTTGGATCACACACCCTCACACACACACACACACCAACATTAATGCGTGTTGATACATGGATAAAAACTCAATTACCGTCAATAATGGTAAAACAGTGATTTAAATTACCATTTTTAATGAGGTGAAAACCTACCCTTTTGAGAGAGCACTGTCTAATCGAGTTTTTTTGAGTTTTTTTACTGGTAGATCAACACACTATTAAATACTACCATTCTGAGAGAGCACTGTCTAATCGAGTTTTTTTACCGTTAAGATCAACACACTATCTAATCATCGAGATTTCTTTTTTTGTTAGTTTAGCACAAGAGCACTAACACTATCTAGTTGAGTTTTTTTTTGTAGTTATATCACACGCACCCTGACACACCAATAAGAGCACCCACAATGCTTTGGGTCTCTTTAAAAAAAAGCATATGTCATATAGGAAATAAATTTAGTTTATAAAAAAAGTGTTTCACAATGCAATTAAAAGTAAACCTAGTCTAACTTATGTGGCAATAAAAAAAGAGACCAAGTCCACTCTTGGATCTATTTTGAACCCAAGTGTGAACCTTACAATAGCAATCATTTACTATTATTATATTTTTATTGATTGTTAGCTATTCTAGACCTAGTACTTTTTTTTTTTATTGAATAGATCTTAGATTTTTTAGTTTGTATTTGTCCATGTCATTATAGACTTAAGTCTATTTATTTGCCACATATGCAAAAAAAAGACCCAAAACATTGTGGGTGCTCTAATGAATTGTGGGTGCTCTAATGTGTGTTTACCTGACAGTAAAATATCAATCCCTTTGACAAGGGTAAAATAATGATTTTAATAATAACTTTAGAGCATCCAAAATGCATCGCATTCAATCACAAAAAATCGTATAGTCTATCTAAAAGAATGAATTTTCCAATGCAAACAAACAAAAGTAGACTAGGTCCTGCTGCTGCTGANGTAGAGACATAATAAATTTTATCAATTTTATGTAATTTTATTCATATCATCCAACACTTAAATTTAATTACTAGACAAGACTAGACCAGCATGCTCTTAGATTCTACCCTTGGGCTTGAGAGCACTATTTAATCAAGTTATTTTTTGTTACCGTTAGATCTCGCACAAGAGCACTATAATCGAGTTTTTGACGGTTGGATCACACACTAACACACTCCAAACATTAATGAGTGTGTAAAAACTCGACCCCGTTGAGAAGGGTGAAATAGTAATTTTAATTACCAATGTTGTGGAAGGCTCGACACTATCCTACACCGCCAACATTAATATGTGTGCATCCAAGTGTAAAAAAAAAAAGTCAGGCCACATTCAACAAGGGTAAAACAGTAATTTCACTTACCATCCTCGGTGACCCGTCGATCTCGGCGACCTCCATTCCGGTGACGATCATCCCCGGAACAATCTCCCTTGTGAGGCGGACGATGGCATCCTCGGCTGTGTTCATGTCGAGCGCCTTCATCCCGGGCACGCTCTCAATCATCCCTATGCTCCTGAGCCGCTTGACGCCAGTGGCCCCGAACGGCCCGTCGTGGCCGCACGAGCTCACGACCACCCTAGCCTCCATCACGTTTGGATCCATACACGACTGTGTGTCGTGGTTCATCGAGACCAGCGCCCAGTTGGTTACGACGCCGGCGACCCTGCCGGACTTCACGATCAGGTCCTCGGCGGCCACGGCGTTGAACAGCTTGACGTTGGGGCGGGCGAGGAGGCGGCTCATGATGGTGGAGGTGAAGAGGGCCGCGTGCTTGATGACGACGTAGTCCTCCTGCTCGTCGTAGGCCACGCCGATCTCATCGAGGAAGAGGTGCGCCGGCTTGCGGACGACCATGGCGGAGAACAGCTGGCCGCCGAGCCACGCCCCGCCGCCGGGGCTGACGGACTGCTCGATGATGGCGACGCTGACGTCGGGGTTCTTGCTAAGCTCGTAGGCGCAGGAGAGGCCGGCGGATCCGGCGCCGACGACGACAACGTCGGTGTCGGCGTAGGTGATCATGTCGGTCATGTACCGGCGGGTCATCTCCCGGGCGACGATCGACTCCTTGATCGGTCGGAATTGGAAGGTGCTGAGGTCGTACGGCGTGTCAGGGGACGGGGAGGAGGACGCCGACGCCACGACGGAGAAGTTATGAGGGGCGGATCTGGACGGGAGGGCGGCGCGTGAGCGGATCTGCGCGCCGTGGAAGGAGGATTTGGTGAGAGAAGAGGTGATGGTTGTGGCCATGGCCGCCATTGTATTATCAGAGATGTTGATTTTTTTTTTTTCTTTAGTTTTTTCACTGATTAATTTTGAAGTAGAGCTTTGATTTGGGGATGAAAGCAAGAGCAGTTGTGTGTGTGTGTATATATATACACTCACAAAGAGAAAGATGTGATAAGTATGAAAATATCTTTGGGGAAAAAAGATTGAAAAGGTGGAGAGTTGCTGGGGGATAGAAATTGAACGGTTCACAATGCTTTGTGTGGTTTGAAAGTAGTGCAAAATAAATAATGGATATGGATGCTGGCACTGCCACATAATAACAATAATGTTAAGGAGCCAACTGTTGGTTCTGTTATGGAGTTAACAGCTAATTAGACAGTTTCATGTGGGCTGTCCCACATTCAAGGCATGTGGGACAGCCCCACGTGGAGTTGTCTCATTGGCGATTGGCTGCATATCAATTTTGATATATAAATTTATTGAAATAAAATATCATTAAATTTGAGTATTTAAGACAATCTTACGGCGTGATTGTATATAATTTGTACAGTAAATATCTCACTCAAAACTCAAATTTAACTCAATTTTGACTCAACTTCACTATCTCTAATATTATCAATATAATTAAATAATATCAACCAATCATTATTACACATCACATCAACTTTAATTCATTATTCACTCACTCACATAATTTTAACTAACCATCACTTCCAATCATTTCTCATATTTTTACATCAAATCAACTTTAATTATTTTAATTTAAATATTATTTTAATATATCTACTAGCAACTAAGCATACTAATTTTTTCAAACTTAACTATAGTTAAAAAAAAAACTAATTTTTTACTAGTTGAATTCATATCCAATCACTCCCTTATTCAATAATCATGCATGTTTTTTATATTGAAATTTTATGATTAAAAAGTATCACATAAACAAGAGTGGCATTCTATAGTATATGGACGATTTTTTGTTAAAGAAAGGTTTGACGCTTAAACTACCAAACGGTTAGTTAGTTTAACGACAACATTCGTGAAGATTTAAACGGTTAACATATGTTTAATATGTATATAGTAATTATAATTTTTATTAAAAAAAGGTCTGGTGTTAAAGCTGCCTAACGACCAATCAGCTTAACAACAACATTCGTGAAGATCTAAACTGTTAACCTATGTTTTAATATGTACGTATTTATCCGAGATGAGCCTAGCCAAGATGCCTCCTGAGACTTTGAATGAGCCAAACACAACGACGAGACTCATTGAACAGGATGGTCCGAGCCACAAATATAGAGTAAGGATACGCGAAGATGCTCAACAAATTTGATGGGCTGAGCCGAGCTGGGGCGAACCTGTGTAACCACAAACAGTATTTTAAATCATAGTTTGGCCCTTTTGCAAGAAGTATGGTGGGTCCTATGAAGTTAAATATGTTATTAGGGTATTTGTGAATATCCACGAAAAATAGCCACTAAAAATATAGAAAAAACGAATTAATAAAATAAAGTCAAGAAACATAATGTTGTTCTCTCTTAAAAAAAAAATGACTCCGGAAATTACTAACATTTTACGACCAATTCTTCTAAGATATAACAACTATCTACTTGTGTATGACAATACATAAATACATGAGCCTTCGACGAGCGCTGCTATTGTTTCGGTACTCTCGGAAATGAAAAACAACAAGAACACAATATTTATGAATGTGAACTTGTAGGCAAAAGAGCTCTTAAATTTTAATTGAAAATTTATATGACGTTAATAAATTATTTATAGATGTGTAAAATATCGACAGAGGTCTAATGTGTTGAAGTACATCGAAATCGAGCCAACAATCTTTCTACATCAGTAGTCGCGAGCTCATTATACCCATGATTGTGCTTCCCCACTTGATAGAGCTTACACCGTCATAGGCAGTGCTGTTAAATTAAACGAGTCTGACTCGGCTCGACAGGTTAAGGCTCGAGTTTGACTCAAATAAGCCGAACTCGAACTTATTTAAAGCTCGTTTGGTTAACTAGTCGAGCTAAGACTCAAAAATATAATTTTTATATGTTTTTCTATGCTCGGTTCGTCAAGACTCTCGTATCTCTTTGTTTCTTATTCTAACGAACTTTTAAGTTAGAAAAACTTTATTTTTTCTACATGTTGAACTTAAAATCAATTCTTCGCGATAAAATCAATACAATTTTTATTTTTATTTTTTCATTTTTTTATTTTTTTTTTAACAAAATCAACTGTAAGGGCCCAATGAAAAGTTGACAGTGTAGTACATAAGAGCATCTCCAATGTGAGATGTTGACTTAATAAAATGTTAGCCACATCATCAAGTTATAAAGTGAAAACAAAAATCAATCTTCAATCCATAATGTTATGGATTCTTTTATGCTGACATGGAGACAATAAACATCCAAAGTGTGAAGCCCACTTTCTAGTTTTCCAAAGAGTGTTTGAAAGTCAACTCATCAAAAATCTAACCTATTTTAAGCTTTTGAAAGGGATGCATTGGAGATGTACATTCCAAGTTAAAGTCTTCTCTTTTGACATTCATATTACATGAATTTACATTCCATTCATCATTTGACATGTGTTCAAATTTAATTAATGTTCAAAGTGGAGCATTGGAGGTGCTCTAAACAAAGAAACGCATCTGCACATTTTTTCTTTCAGTTACTCGAACCAGATTTAACCACTAAAATAAAACTCATTCATAATCCATGTTAACTGATTTAAAATCATAAATGTGTTGAAATATTTTACTATCAACTGAATATATAAAATTTAATGAAAATTACTACAAGTACATAATAAATATACATAGAGGTGTACATAACACTCATATGGAGAGGGGTCCCTTAATTTTTTATTTTTCATAAGACCCACTTAATGTAAGTGTTATGTACACCTCTGTCTAAAATATTATTTATCTATAACATTTCTCAAATTTTAATTTCTCAAATTTTAATACAGAAAAAGAGTGTGATATGGAAAAATCTTGGGGCATGGGATGGGACCACAGTACTCTTGTGTCTTTTTCTTACTTAATACTTAATAGTATATATGCTCCCATTAAAGTATTATTGTGGTTTGCATGTTTACACTATAAAATAATCAATAAAAGGCTAGATATTTTTGTGTGGCAGCTGTAATGTCACTATCATACCTGAAGTGTCCCGAGGACTTTGATATTATCTCAATATCCAACCATTTTTTTTTTCTTCGAATAAAAAAATCCTAGAATTTTCTAGACATTTTGGAGCCTCGTGACATGTTAATCGATTCCACTCGTTATCAATATTATTAGAATACTATTTATGGGTTGTTCCATATTTATACATAAAAAATAAATTAACTTATAAATTTACTGAATTATTGTTCGCAAAGACGGATTTACATTAGGTCTAGGGGGGCCACGGAACCCCCAATTTTTTTTGAAAATTCATTATATATATTTATATATATATATATATACATTACAAAAAATGGATAAAATTGAAAAGGATATTTAAAATATATAATTAATTAAAACTTAGTTACTATGCTATTTTAATTTAAATTAATAATATTATTTATTTATTAAAAAATATACTAACAATCCTAAAATTTTACATTTCTAGATAAGTTTTTGAAAATATTTATAATGATTTATTCTTTCGGTCTCTTAATTATAATTGATTTAGTGATTTATAAAACCGAGTATTTAGTTGAATTGTTAGATTTTGAATATTAATTATTACTTTTTTTTATGTAATCACATATTTTTAACTTTATTTTTTTTTTTTAAATAGTCATTTGATAAGCTCTCATCAACAAAAATGTTGTGCAATGTGCTGTAAAAGTTCAATTGAAATCAAATTTTCAACCAAAAAATTGATTCCATAAATTATAGATGTTGAACTTAAATTATAAATACATAAAATCTTTTTTTTTTTGGTTACTTTTTTAAAGTTTGAGGGTGATACGGATTTTAAGTTTTTTAAAACTTGATGGTACACATATCGATATTTATATTTATAAGTAAATACATTTTTATATCAAATGAACATTTTGACATAAACTACAAGTTCGTTATTTAACATTTAAAATGGACCCCCTGAGTAAAATTTTGAGTAAAATTTTTAGATCCGTCACTGATTGTTCCTACAACTAATTAGTTTTATAATGGAATCTACGCTCACCTCCTTATGATGCGGTTCACGTGCATGGGATTGCACTCTGTTTTCCTTGCAAATATCAAAGTTAATTAAAATCATGTCCAAAATATAATTAATTGTTTTAACATGGATTACTCTAGTATAAGTATTTGTTTACTAGTATATATATATATATAGGAAAATAAAAATTTTAGATCGGATTAAAGTCCACACAAACCATTAAAAATGGTTCCGACCTTTAGCTTACAACTTAACAAAATAACATGTAGTTAATTACAAGTTCCCTATCATCAACAAGAAGAATTGGAGGCCGACAAATAAAAGAAATAGTAAGAATTCGAGAATTTGCTCGATTTGCCATTTGAAGATCTATAGGAACCTTTTCGGATAACACTTACGGAGAAGAAGTTTTTTAGAGCTCTATGTCTTGGATGAATTCAAGTTGTAGTTGATCACTGTAAGAAATGGGGGGAAACGGGTGCGATCCTACGCACGTGAATCGCACCATAAGTAGGGAAATTCCAGGTGAAACCTAAGTGGAGTTTTATTCCAAAACCAATTGATGGAAGAAGTAGTAGCTTATTAAACTTATAAGGTAGGTCTATTTTCCATATATAAACAATATTGGACAACTAACAAGTGATATTTTAACAATCACTTTCAAAATGGAATGAGTCAGTTTGAATAATTAAATAACAAAGATATATTAGAAAAATGTTGGAAAATGAGTTGAGTTCACTAACTCTTTCAATGGCTATAGGAATTGTACATCATCCAATAATTATTTTTACTACTAATAATTATTAATTAATTTTATCATGAAATTTGTGTTAATTTTATCATGAAATTTGTGAAGTGGTGAAAAAAATTGAAAAACTTTGTGTAGAGGATCAAAGATTTTGATATTTAGAACTAATTTTATGTCATATTTATTTACAAGTTTAAATAATTATATCTCACCCTTAGAAACTTAGAACTTATTATATTTTTATCTCATATTTATTCACAAGTTTAAATAATTTTTTATTTTTTTAGAAACCACAATTTTCACCATTTTTTCTCTCTTTTAGAACGAGATAATTTTATTTTTGAAAAACCTGTATATTTAAAATAGTATATCAATTGTGAAATGTTAAGTTGATAAAAATTTTAAGCGAAAAAAAACAAGAAAAAAAAAAATCTCTGGACAATGATTTCCTCGTCGACCTTATCCATACACAACGTTCCCCAGCCACCGTCGCCGACCGCCATCCAGGCCACCTCCGACCCTAAATCCGGCGTCTCCACACCAACATCCGACCCTCAATCCTCTCCCAAATCCCAGGCTCGGCGGATCAAGACGAGCCCTCAGCTGAGCCGCTGGTCCAGGGCTCGCGCCATCAGATCCGGCCGGAAATTGAACCGCCAAATTCAGCTGCCCAACCGCGAAACCAACAACCCGGATTCTCCCCTGAGCGACTCCGTCAATAGCAGCAACAGTAACGGAAGCGATCTCCTGACTCTTTCCCCGGCCAGCCAAGGGGCGAGCGACGGAGACTATTCAACGGACGTGGCGGCGCCCGGAAAGTCCATATACATGGTGTCGGACGGTACGGGGTGGACGGTGGAGCACTCCGTTAACGCGGCGCTGGGGCAGTTCGAGCACTGCCTGGTGGATCGGGTTTGCCCGGTTAACACACACTTGTTTTCTGGGGTAAGTTGGGTCCTTTGTATAGCCTCTGCTGAAAATTGAAATGCCTTAGTTTGGTGCTAATCATTGCTTGCTTGATTTTGTTGGTCAAGTTGGAGGTTACATATTGCTGTGTAAGTAGAGCTCAACGCTCACGAGGTCGGTTTGTTAATATTGAGAAATGAGTCGAGGTTGAGTCGGTTTGTCAAGTATGTGTAAGCCATATCTGAAATTTGAGATTGAGATTGAAGGTTTGCATTAAATATAGTTATGTGGTTTGGCATCGATGATTATAAGGGATAATCATCCACTGCTCATCACACACGAACAAAGAACTAAACACGTACCTATGGATAAGTTGGGATACATTAACATGAGTTTTATTAGGCCACGGGTCAATTTTGATTGCTAACACACACGAACATAGGATTTCAGTTGATAAGAAGCCTTTTTTCTGAATTCCGGGGATTATCAATATCATCCATATAGATTCTAATGATATGGGCTGATAGATTATTTGTGAGTTTTCATATAAATACTTCAAACAAGCAAAGTATGAGTGAGACTCATCTTTCATTACTTACTTAGTTACAGAACATAAAATGCACCACATCATGTACGCCATTGGGACACATTAACAACCAATCGTCATTTGCTAACACACACGAACATGGGATTTGAGTTGATTAGAAGGCTTTTTCTGAATTCAAAGGATTATCAAGGTTAGCAAAATAGATTCTAATGATATGGGTAGTGAGAGTGAGAGATTATTTGTGAGTTGTGTGGTAAAGATACATTGAACAACCAATGCAAGATTGAGATCCGTTTTTTTGCTCGCCAATTTTGTACATGATTCGATTGCATTTCATGTTCCGTAACTACTTAACGAGACCTATATAGTGATGTCATTCAATGATCACATTTTTAGCTGATTCAGTTAAACATGTTAGTCATGATGTTAACTTAGGTTATGTTTGGTAACCAAATAAGCTACCTTATAGAGTATTTGGTTAGCTTAAAAGCTTCATGTAAGCTTCGTTTGGTAGGATAAACTTTTTTAAAAAGCTCGAACTTATCTCATAAACTTCTTCTGTTAGCTTTTCAAATAAGCTCGTTGAAATTTATTTCAGCTAGCTTATCAGCTAATTTTACGTAACGCTTTTATCATATATAGCTAGCTTTTCAGCTATAAGTCATAAGCTATACGCTACAAAGCTCGAAAATCACTTATAAGTTATCAGCTAGTTTTACCAAACTAGGTAACAACAATACTTGACCCTAGATGTTTTTGTGCTGTTCGGATTTGATACTCTTAATTGCGTTGAAAAACTTGAGCTACTCGACTTGTGAACACAAAATATGACTCTCTCTCTCTCTAGATTGATGACGTGGAGCGATTGATGGAGATAATCGCGCAAGCCGCCAAGGAAGGGGCCATGGTGGTGTACACCCTGGCGGACCCCTCGATAGCCGAGTCAGCTCGCCAGGCGTGCCTCCTGTGGGGGGTGGCCTCCCTCGACGTCCTCGGGCCCATAACCGAGTCCATCGCCTCCCACCTCAACGTCACCCCATCGGGCCTCCCTCGGTGGGCCCCGGGCCGCAGGCCCGCGCTCGGCGAAGACTACTTCCGGAGGATCGAGGCCGTCGAGTTCACCATCAAGCAAGACGATGGGGCCCTTCCCGAGAACCTTGACCGTGCGGACCTTGTCCTGACGGGCGTGTCGCGTACGGGTAAAACCCCACTGTCGATCTACCTGGCGCAAAAAGGGTATAAAGTGGCGAACGTGCCGCTTGTGATGGGTGTGGACCCGCCTGAGAGCCTTTTCCGGGTCGACCCGGAGAAGGTTTTTGCATTGACGATTAACCCGGTTGTGCTGCAGACGATTAGGAGGACGAGAGCGAGGAGCTTGGGGTTCGATGATGGGATGAGGAGGAGCTATTGTGAGATGGATTTTGTTAGGGAGGAGTTGGAGTTTGCGAGCAGGATTTTTCGGCAGAATCCGGTGTGGCCCGTGATTGGTGAGTTGTTAGCGAATGATTTTTTTTTTTTTTTTCNAGGAATTTCGTTTCGTAGTGAAGGTTTTTTTCTGAGATGATTCACATTCGATATTTTTGGTGGCTTTGAATTTGAGCTTTGCAGAGGTTACTGGGAGAGCAGTTGAAGAAACTGCTGCTATTATACTGAGGCTTTACCACGACAGAAAAAATAGATGCTCGATGCCGAGAATTTCCAAGCGCTACTGAATGCAGAGGAATTCAATTTCCACTGTCACGGTTTGTTTGTTTGTTTTTTTAATGTATGTGCTCATTGTGTTTTTTGGCTGATTTACGCAATCTTTAGCTCGTGTTAATAGCATACGGAGACATTTCAGTATAATGAAAATCGATGTGTAAAATTAGCCTTCCGTTTTCAATTTCAGAAAAAAAAATGCTCCACCAAGTAATGTCACACTTGGAACTTGGAAGACATATTGCTCTTTTTATCATTTAGTCATTAGTTGGTTCGATTTGGAGATTTCAAATTTCTAGAGTCTTGAATCGAAAATTGAATATCATCAAACTCCAATCTCTGAAATCGTATAAAAATCGGGATGGTTCAGTATGGAGATCTTTATATTTCGATTTCGGAGATTCGGGATTGTTGAAAGTTGAAATAGTTCATATTGGATATGGGTAGATTTTTAATTATTAAATTAGAATAAGAAAGTGAAATTATTAATTTCAATTATTTATTTTTTTTCAAATTAATATCTAGCTATAATGAAATATCGGTATGTTTTTCAATTTTCAATTTTGTGTATATTTACATATTTAATGATTTTGTTCTGAATCAACAATAAAAAGAAATGAATCTAGTAGTGAATTTTATTGTGAAACCTGAAAATTTGAACTTCTAATTGAATATATATGATTCTGAAAAGTATTTTTTTTCATATAAATAATTATAAACTAGAAGGAATAATAAAAGTTAGAAAAATGATACTTATAGTAACAATTTATTTATATATTTATTTTGTGGTAGAGTCTAAGATAAGGAGCATTATAGTAATGGAAATATTAGAGCATGTTTGTTTATGAAATTTTTCAAAAAATTTCTAACATTTTAACTTAAATACCTTTTTTTAACTCAACTTTAACTCAACCCCACTATCATCAAAATTATCAATATAATTAAATAATATCACTTAATCATTCATACACACCACATCAACCTTAATTCACTATTCATCCACTCACATTATTTTAACTAACCATCACTTCAAATCTCTCTCTCCTACTTTTACATCAAATCAATTTTAAGTATTTTATTTTAAATATTATTTTAATATACCCACTAACAACTAACTATACCACCTTTTTCAAAATTAACCAAACCAAATAAAAAAATTCAGACAAAATCAAAATTTTTTATAAACAAACATGCTCTTACAGTCCCGTTATAGAACCATTCCGTTGAGACTTTTAATCATAGATTATCTATTAACATTAATCTTCATGGTGTATTTACGAATAAAAATTTCGACAGAATGATTTCGTAACGGGATTGTAGTCATTCGCAATAGTAATATTTGTGCTTTTGCGATATGTTGGGATCGATTGTTTGTTCAACCTATATAAATATTAAAAAATAAATAAATGACTTGCCCACAAATGATAAGTGAACGAGACAATACCTATGCTCGCAAACAACTCGGTTGAACTTAAACGAAATGAATCGAGCTATGCTCGCAACAACTCGTTTGGAATAATATCTTGCAATTATTCATTCTTCTTGCACACCAAATTGTACTATAAGAATTTCCCATGTCCGCGTGTCATAATTCTACTGCCTCAAAGATAAACACAGTCCTACCTGGCAAGAACTCAGACGCTTATTGGCTGGGATCATATCCAAATCAGATAAGGATAAAATATAGAGCTGCAATTAGCTTATATCCCAAAATACACTCCAAGCAACACTCGACTATTTGACAAACTCTGAATCCCAAAACAAATNAAAAAAAAAAAAAAAGAAAAAAGAAAATTCCGCAGATTTACAATGGCTATGGCTTCAATAGCTGGCTTCCTCGGCTCCTCCCAAGCCGTACTCGAGGGCAGCCTCCACCTCAGCGGCTCGAGCCGCCTTAGCATCGCTTGCTGCCCTAAATCAGTTCCCCTGGACAAACCCTGTTTCACCATACGAGCCCAGCTGCCGAGCCAAGCCGAGACCATAGAGACGAGCCGCCGGGGCATGTTGGGGCTTGTTGCAGCCGGGATTGCATCTGGCTCGTTCGTGCAAGCTGTGTTAGCCGAGGCCAAGCCGATCAAGGTTGGGCCTCCACCTCCACCCTCCGGCGGACTGCGTAAGTGATTTGTGTTTTTGTTTTTGTTTTGTTTTGTTTTTTTTAATTAATCATATCTTAAAAATTTATAATTGTCAAAATTGCAAAATATATTCAGTTACTTGGAAGTTGGAACAACATACATCAGTTTTTAGTTTTGCCCAGAGTAAGCTGTAGAAAGTACCAACTACCTAATCAAAGGGCAAATATTCTACCAAAACATGTGGGCAAAAATGCACTTTATTCCCGGTAACGTTTGGCCCGTGCCGTCCTTTTGTTTTGACAAATTACGACGGTAAACTTGAAAAATCACGCACTTAATGTTCAATCGACGTATAATTTATGGTAAATTGCAAGTTACTACCCTAAATTGACGAGGAAAACCTGCGAAATTCGGTAAATTGTACGTTCATTGAGTATTAAGTGCATGATTTTTCAACCTTACTGCCCTAATTTGTCAAAACAAAAGGACGGTGTCCATAATTGCCACATACCATAAATTACAGGGCATAAATTAAAAATTTGCTAACCGTGTGAGTTAGTAAGTATATTTTGTAAGGGTTGTTTTTTATAGCTGATGATTGATGGCCGGTAAATAACTACAGTTTATGGAGTGTGATGCAAATTCAAGAAGGTAAAAGATTTAAATTACTATGCTAAATCTTGGTGTGAGGTAATTATGGATGATAATACATAATCTAAAACAACAAATTGTTTGAACTCACTAAACTATGTGCTGGTTTGGGACCACTTCTGAAAAAATCCATTAAAGAAATAGACTTATTCAAAATGGACTTCTCCAAAAGTCCTGATCCTTTACTTCTACGTAATGGACTTTTTCCTGAAACAACTTATCCATAAGTCCGTTCTCAATTCAGAATGGACTTTTTGCTAAATAATTTATTATTGAGAAATTACGGATGAATTGCTTGCAGCCGGCACGTTGAACTCAGACGAAGCGAGAGATCTCGAGCTGCCTCTGAAGGATCGGTTCTTCCTGCAGCCGCTCACGCCAGCTCAGGCGGCGGCTAGGGCCAAGGAGTCGGCAAAGGAAATCGTGAACGTGAAGACGTTTATCGACAAGAAAGCTTGGCCTTACGTGCAAAACGACCTCCGATTGAGGGCCGAGTACCTCCGTTATGACCTCAACACGATCATCTCGGCTAAGCCCAAAGACGAGAAGCAATCCCTAAAGGACCTCACCGGAAAGCTTTTCCAGACCATCAGCAACGTAAGATTCGATTAAAAGAACTTATAATATTACTAACTAACGCTCGATAGATTTGTTACAATATGGTACATTTTTAAGAAAGATTCGATTCTTGACGATTTTTTTTTTTTTTTTTTTTTNTTTTTGTAATCAGCTTGACTATGCAGCAAAGATCAAGAGCAGCCCTGAGGCAGAGAAGTACTATGCTGAAACTGTAACTAAATTGAATGATGTCTTGTCCAAGCTTGGCTAGAAATAACATAACAAATAGTATATATGTATTTATGTATGATCAATATGCAAGCTTTGCTTTATTTTTGTTGTGAATGGAGATCATTTTCCCTGTTAATTGAGCTCAAGTGAAATTTAATTTAGCACTAGCTAACCATATATTGTCAATAAGCATGTTAAAGTCCCTCAACTAGTGAGTGCTTCATCAACAATTAATTAAACAAGCTTTGATGAATTTGAATTTCATCAATTACACTATTTATCAATTACACTATTTATCACCTCATAATATGAAAAATAGGAACCACACTACGATACATTCAAAATTGAACAAGCTTTGATGAATTTGAATTTCAATCACGATTTTTGATACTTGCAAATTATATAATAACTTTATTTTCTTTTCGTTGCATTTTATAGACGAAGGTGCACCGATTTGGCAAGAAATGAAGGTTATGATATAACAACAGTCAACAAATCCTAATTAAAATACAAATTTATAAGAAGTCGTGATATTAAGCATAATTTTGTCTTTTATCAAATACGATGATTGGAAATTATGAAGTTATGTAAAGTATGATAATATATATATATTTATATACACATACATATTATACATATAATAATTAAATATTAAAAATCAATATCTCATAATTTAATATAATATAATATTGTTCTAGTTCACTCAATTTATTATGATTTTGTCGTGCATCGCTCTCCCACACTACTACACTAGTTTGTAAATGATGGAAGCATATGACTATCAACTACACTTGTATCTGTTGGGCGAATATGATGTTTGGTCATCTCTCATCGAAAGGGTATTTTGAGACTAATGCAAATTCAAAACGAGTCATCTCACGGCCCAGCCCAACTCGACTTTATTTGGGTTGACTGAGTCCATGACACTGGAGGCCCCAGTACCTAAAACTATGTCCTGGCCAGGTGGCCCATATGTAAGTAATTAAAATTGTAACCAAAATTTGGCCAAAAAAAAGAAAAGAAAAATCAACACCTGTTGTAATATATTGCATTAATGTAAAACAAACTAAGAAAAGTTACAAGAACAAATATTTTAATATCAGATTTACAGTATGTACTATAATTAGTAAATATAGCATCATATTATATAATAAAAAAAAGTTTGAATTATGTAAAGATTTGAGGCATATGCTTTTTAAGTATTAAGAAAATATTGAATAAGTTTGTACCAAAAAAAAAAAAAATATATTAAATAAGTCAAAGTCATAAATACTACACATTATTGTAATGCGGAAAATATCGTAATCTTGTACTATATTTTAATAATAGCAATAAAGATATAATCTTGTACTATATTTTAATAATAGCCATAATAATATTGTAATCATAATTCCTATGCACCAAAATTTTAAATATTTGATATTATTGTAATAAGATTTATTTTATAATGGATTGACTGGCAAATTGACTTTTTCGATTGTTGCACTGATTGAATGTGTGTTGATCCAATGCTAAAAAAAATTATTGAAATTTCCTTCACTTATCAAACATGTAATATGGAGGTTGTATCTTTGAGTGCTTGTTTGAGAACACTTTTATTAAAAAAAAAAAATAAAAAAATCCATTTATTAAATGGAATTCTACAAAATGAACTTTTCCAATAAAGTCTCAATTCCATTTAATAGAATGCCCCTTTAGGACAACCAATTTGCTCATAAGTCCATTTAATATTTATCACTAAACATAAATTATTTACTCAAATCAATTTTTATATTCAAAAATCTATTTGAAAAGTGTTTCTAAATGCGCTAAAAGAATTCAAAAATTGCTTGACTTGTCAAACTTGTAATTGCAACGGATAGAGCTGTGACATACAACGTTAATATTTGTAGGTTTACTTAGCTAGTCATATCAGCAATTTCGTTTGAATTAATTATATATAAAACCATAGAATAAAAATTAATACCATATGCAATTAATTTAGTTTTGAATGTATAAACATATAGACTAAAAGTTAATACCATATGAAAGGAAAAGAAAAAAAAGGTAAAATAAGTTGACCATTAAATTTTTCCCAAAATCTAATGATTTTTTCCTAAAAAAATTAGAATAAACTAAAATAAGCTACCCATTAAATTAAAATAAAATAATCAAACGGCACCAAACGCCTGAAAAAGAAAAATAGTAACGGGCATCGTCAGGAATGCGGGCCCCACACCCTCCCTGCAAGCACGCAAACACCAAATGGTGTGACTCCGGGACACGTGTCCTATGTGGAGGTGCATCTGAATTGACGCCTGTCAGCGGGTTTCGATTGCCTACGTTTCGTGGACCCCACATCCCTGTCTGCTTTTTCCGTAATAAAAACGTGATGACTTCCACATCTCTTACAACACACACTCTCATCTCATTCATTCGCACCAACCCTAAGAAAACCCTTCTCAACTTCTCCGCCGTCTCATGGCCCGAACCCTTGTGAGCCGCCGCCCTGCATTGAAGCCCGTGCCCGAACAAAACGACAATCCGATGTCCGACAATGACTCGTCGAGTCCCAACACGAATTCGAACTCGTCCGCCTCACGAACCCTCTCTCTCCCCAAGCCCACGAGAGTGGGCGTAGCTTCCGGACTCGAATCCGAGATCCAATCGGCCCCCGACTGTGAGGAGGCCGCCAGAGTGCGAAGCGTGCCGACGAGGCCCAGATCTAGGCCCAGGCTCGACTTGGGGAAACGGGCCGCTCTTGGTGGGCCTTCCAAGGATGCAAGGAGGCTTAAGGGCCTCGAGATCCGGAGGAGAACCAACAACGAGCACGACGACGTCATCCTCGTCCGCGGGTTGATCGAGTATCTGGACCGGGTCGGGTCCGGAGGGCGGTTCTTCGACCTGCACCCCTTCCACAAGTTCATCCGCGGCCGGTTCGCGTGCGAACCGACCCCAGACCAACTGCATAGCATGATCTCCCGAATCCGGGCCAACTATCGCAGGAACATGACCAAGGAGGCGAAGAGAGGCCGAGCCCCGAGGGGGGCCCACCAGCAGTTGGTGTACGAGCTTTCCAAGCTCGTGTGGGGGGGCGACGAGCCCCGATGGATGCCTCGCGTGAAAATGGTGAAGAAGAGGCAGAACGGGCTGGAGGAGGTAGGCCCATCCGAGGGACCCGATCTAAATCTGGACGAGGAGGACGATCTGGAGGAGATAGGTCCATCTGAAGGGCCTAGCCCAAATAGGGACGAGCCAAAAGAGATGGGCCTATCTCAGAGGCCCGACCCAAACCGAGAGGAGGCGAGCCTTTGGAGGGACGATGGCTCGGTGGTTTGGGGTAAGGTGGCCGAGGTCATGGACAGCCAAGACACAAGTGGCGTGGCCCCGATGGTTGAAAGGCTTTGGCCCAAGATGTTTGGAGGGGTGCCGCCGGGTAGAAAGGCGGAGGACTGGCGAAAGGTGGTGGTGAAGGACATTTATCTCTATATAAAGAAGACGGAGATTAAGGTGGGGAAGGCCAATCTCGTTGGCAATGTTCTCAAGGCCATATAATTGTTGAATACTTTATTATGTATGGGACGAGGTTTGGTTGGTGTTTACTTATGTTTTAGATTCATGAGCAGTCGTGTGCTCTTTAAGTGTGCTTGTGCGAATAGTGGGTCGTAGTTTATGTGGTTGTGTTAAGTTTGAGTCGGTACTTTGTATTCCTTTCAGGACTACATTTCATTGCTTGTCATGTTTGTTTTAAGAATTTCTTGTATTCAGCTTTTCGTACATAGTATGATGTTTATGTTTGTTTTAAGAATTTCTTGTATTTTAGGATCGGTGTTTTGGTTTGTGTTGGTTCTGTTTCTTACGCTTAGTTACTAGTTATTATCAGTGCTTGCTTTCATTGAGTAAACTATAATTAGTCGTGATTCGAGTTTGTGGGTGTTCCTCTCAGCTCGATTTCATTCACGATCCATTATATGGTTAACTAGGGTAACTTGTTCACTTCATCTCTTTCCTAATAGAGATTTTTGTCGAGGGATGAGTTTGGAATAACGTGCTTCTATGCATGCACGTGCTTTGTATATGTGCTGCGTTCATATCGTACGTAGGGGCAATATTGGGCGACTAATTGCGACGAAGATTTTCATTGCATAATTTGAAAATACCGTTACTTAGTTTTGGCTGGCACGAATAAGATTTTATGGCATGACAACAATTAATGTGCAATGACTTTTGTCGGTGCTAATAATGTCGAGCCAACTTATCAAATTATGTGAGCCGAATCTAGTAATATTACCAATATCCGGAAAATTTAGGGTTTTCCTACTTTTGACTACCACGTGTCTTCGATCAAATTTGATTATATTGTTGACATTAATGTTGTTTTCGAGAATTTAATGTTCCGATTATGGAAGGCATGTGTTCCCGCTCTTACCTAAAACTTGTTTCGACGTAAGTATTTAAGAAAAAAGTCACACGTGTTACAAATATCGGCTATTGCAAACCCTACATTTATTTCTTTCCACAATCACGCCATGAGCCCTTAACAGTTAACACTGTCCCTCACTCACTGCAATCTTGGCTTCCATTACTGTACCAGTTCAGGTCTGATATCATGCTTCTGATAATTTGGCTCATTTTAACACTAAGGCCTTGTCAAATATTACGTGAAGCCTATCGAAAACTAAACCGTTCCAAAGAAAATACCTTTTTAAAACTTCCTATCTTCTTTTAGTTGATGCAACTTCAGTTGATTTGTTTTGCTTAGTCATAACAACCCTATAGATACGCATAAAGACCATTGTTTCTAACAGAGCTAACATGCGGCCATTATTGATCGTTTGTGCCTCAATTATGCACTCGCCCGTGAGCGAATTCGCTATGTCTTTCCAAGATCTTCTTTGCATTGTTTTCCATCTAAATCTGAGTATTCACTTGAACTTGAACTAAAACATGAGAATTAGTCTGACCTATCAAATTACTTGATCATCATTTCAAGTGAAGTTTGATTTGAGGAATTTCATATGAAGCCTTAGGGTTCATGCATTATTAATATGGGAATTACAGAACTGAAATTAAAAAGTCTGTCCATTTTCTAAACTGGGCCTTATTGAATAAAATAGGCGGTCCAATTTCTAATGAATGGACTTCAGGCCCAGGTATGAATTAGTCCTACCTTGGTACAAATTCTGGTTTTCGCGGTTAGCATGCTAAAGAAGAGTTTTTTTTTTTTTTTTTCTTTTCTTTTTAATGAACAGTGAAAAGTAATTTGAGTGAATATTAATAATTTTTATAATAGAAAATACTGGATATAAAGGGTAAAATTAGTTTCTGTATAAATATTTAAAATAAACAAGAGAAGCGCGTAAAACAAGATTAGGTGAAAATTGAACCCAAAAAAGTTCATAAGGGACATAATTATGCTTATTAATTGNGATTTGAATTTTATGTAAAAGAATAAGAACCACATATGAGATCCATACTAGCTTGAAATTTTATAGAAACTAAGATTCGTGAAACAATATCTTAAAATAGGTAATTAATTAGAGTAGTTAATATAAGGATATTATAAGTATAGGATGTGGTTCAAATGAGAAACAAGTGCTTAGCGTGAGAATCGCTATTTTTAATTGTATGAAGTGTTATGATTGGTTGCAATTTAGTGCTATTTTTAATATTGATGTATTTGTAAAAAAATAGCAACACAATTTATATTAATATTTGTGAAAATGATAGCACCATGTGATATTAAACATAGCAATATACACAATTAAAAATAACATCAAATATGGTTTTCACTATTCTCACACCAGGACTAGTTTTTAGTTGAACCAGCCCCTAGTTCATGTAATCTTGATTTAATATGAAACTTAATTAAATATTAATACATCATGCAAATATTTACATAATTAAAGATATAAGGAAAAACTTGACACATCGGAATATCATAATAAAAAAAATAATATTTATTTCATGTTATTTTAATATTATCCCTCACATGTTTTCAATTGCCGACCACTATCTTTCAATGTTTAATTTTTTTTTATATTAAATGAATTTAACCACCACTTTTTCTGTCATATTTATCTGTTCACCAATTTAAATATATCTCAATTTTGTAAAAATTACTTTTCTAATTTTATATCTATTTTTAAATTAGGCAAATGTTTGAAAAAAAAAAAAAGAAACCTTACATCCATTTACAAACAAAGGTGCTTAATTTATTTATTATAACGTGTAATCTAATTTCCACATGTGAAGACCGACAAAATTTAGAAAAGATACAATAATAAGTCAAGCAAGTCGTACTAATAATGGCTAGCATAGAATTCTTCTAGGAGGTGGAAAAATATTTGTTTAGTTAACTAAGTCGCAATACGTGGAAAATTATTTGGTCTTTTTTTTAGCCAAAACTTCTCCATTTTATAATTATATACGAGGTATTAGAGAAAAAATCTAGGATAATTGGAAAGATTCGAGTCTTCTCTCCAGTGATTTTTTACCACAATATCCACACGCTCCTATATGACCAAGGTCAAATCTTCCTAATCTAAACTCTTATTTTCAATAGTTATATGAGATTGATAATAAGAAAGTATATATATATATATAAATGTATAAGTACATAAAATTTTGCAGCTTGAAAAAAAGGAGCATGCATCAATCAATAGGGGTTAGCACTTAGAATTACTAATATTGGATATTTTTTAATTAAAGTTGTAAATGAGTCGAAATAAGGTCGAGTTCTTGATGCTCGAGTTGATCTAAGCTCTTTAAGTTAACGAGTCAAATGAATTTGAATTCAGCTCATTAACAAAGTCTCAATGAATGTAATTATACTAAAAATTCAAAAAATTATAAATATATATATATATATANAACTTATTTTTCAAGCTCAACAAGTTATCACGAAAACTAATCAGCCTAAAATGACCAAGAACTTAACAAATTGAGTAGATCCCACTACAAAAAAATTGTTATATTCCAACGGAAAATCTTATGCTAATATATTTCAATGGAAATTTCAACAGATATTTCAATGGTATAGCATCCGTTGGAATTATTCCAACAGAAACACCAACGGAAATATTCGTTGGAATGTGCTTTTCATTGGAATTTTAGATGAAATTTGATGATTCCAACGGCTTTTACCGTAGAAATTTTTATTGGAATATGTAATTTCTGTTGGAATCTTTATTTCCACCCCCGTTGAAAAATCTACCGTTGAAATTGTCAAAATCCCACAGAAATTCCAATGAAAACTCATTCTAACGGAATATTTTTGTTGGAATTTCCGTTGGAATCCATTGAAAAATTCCAACGAAAATAATAACATTGAAATATCTATTGAAATTGCCGTTGAAATAATTTTATTAGAATATATTTCCGTTGAAATTTTATCGTTTTCTTGTAGTGCCTGAACCAAGTTCACAACTCATTTCCTTTAACAACTTTACTTAGTAATTAGCACAGGGAATTAGTACACCCGTAGAGGACATTCTTTTGGAGCAAGTATAGTCTCACATTTGAGTCTTTTTTTTTTATTATTATTAATATTATTGGTATAAGAAAAAAAAAAATAATTGAGTATGTAAATAATACCTTTAATTAGCATGGCTCTATAAGAAAAATTTTGGAAAACAAAAACTTATACAAAATTATTTTATTTCCTACTTAATTAAAATTTATTGGCTTATTCGGTTACCTATATATATAGTTGCTAACTAATCATTAAATAAAACTTATTTAATTATACCTACGCGACACTTTCCAGCCAATTACCGTTACTTACCGGTATTGATTATTTTTTTACACTAATTATATAATCACTAATGGGATCAGAATAATTTTAATTGGTGAAAATCATGATAATCCAGATTTTAAGGAATGTTGAACAACCATCTTAAAAATTTAATTATCATAATAATTTTAATTGGCTTACGTGGCATAACCAAACATCTTAAACTTTCATAATAATAATAATAATAATAATAATAATAATAATAATAATAATAATAATACTTTTTAAGATAATTAATAGGTCAAGATTTCTCAAATTTATAAAAACTACATTATCTAACTTATTTTATTCAATCAATACAATGATGAAATTGAATACTTTTATAATATTTATTTTTGCTAATGATAAAATTTTTAAAATGTGTACTATTATTAACTTATAATTTTAATATTATACACATACATATAATTTATAATAATTTAAACTTATGTATAATGTTCATTTTTGCTAATGATAAAATTTTTAAAATGTGTACTATTATGAACTTATAATTTTAATATTATACACATACATATAGTTTCTAATAATTTAAACTTATGTATATATACACAGGATGAAATACTAGTTTCTATAAATTTGTCTCCACGCACAGTGCACCGTGGACCGTGGTAACGGGCGCAACGCTGATGTGAATTTTATTGTGCTCTTTTGTTGTTTAGTGCACATCAACATGACGCTACGTTGATGTCATTCTGTCAATTTTAAATTTTAATAAACACAAATAAATATATCTCAAAATTTGACATTTATAGGTATGATTTTTTGTTCCTTAAATTCATGAAAAATGACTTACATTTTATTTTGGGGTCATTAATATAGAATGAAATAACATAATAAACAAATTAATTTTATAGAAAAAATTAAAGTTGTAAGAAATTATAAACAAATAAAATATTAAAAAAGCATTCCTATTTTTCCATTCTTAGTTATATAGTAAAATAATGTAAAATGATTGGAATATTACTCTTTCAATTAATTTTGAACATCTCCAAAGTTTATTCTTACTAGTATTTGATCCTGTGCATTTGCACAGATATAAAACACGTTTTGGTTTGTATTTATTAATTAGACATGTACTTCGATCATATAAAAATTATTACTTTTTCTTAAATTATTTTTAGCATTCAAAATTAATTGAGATTTAAATTTTATTTTAACCATGCAACGTTTACATTAGTAACATGAATAAAAATAATTTATATATTTGTGGCGTATATTAAGAAAATTAACATAAATAAAAAAATTATTGGTGTTTCTGATTTTTAGAAACAGGAACGAGGGTCAATGTAATTGAGAGGAAAAAAAAAATATATGTGTCAATCATATTTTTCTTCCAATAATGCAACCAAATATAGCGGTTACAGCACTGAATGTACCAATCAACTTTAAGTTCCAACATTAGCTGTTACACATTTGAATATTTTGCTACCAAATTTAAAATTAATTTAGTAACTGATCAAAAAAATAAATAATAACAATATATATATTTAGGTGTAACGGTTTTAGCATATTAGGGAGTAATTAATTAAAAAAATATAACTCCTTTTGAAGGAAAATGAGAATAGATTTTATTAAATGTATCAGCTAGTAATTATATATATATATATATATATAT